ATACATCTGCCAGGAGCTGTGCGGCTCGAAGCGTATCCGCTCGAAGCGGCGATCCGATTACGATCCTGATTCACGATCGAAAAATCCCCTGAACCTTCCCCCGATCACTTCAACTTCCAGCCAGATAGCGAAGCTTGCGATCATAATTCCCGATATACTACCGATGATATTTCCATGCCTCAACCTCTCCTCTTCTCTTTCTATCTTTCTTCTGTTAGGATCGAATCTGTTTGGTTGGCTTTTCGTTCACGACAATCTGTGTATATATATATATATATATACTTGGAGGATTGTCTTATATCTTGTTATTCTAGTGTTTCTTATTCTTCTTCCACTTGGATCGTTGCAACGTGGCGACACGTAACAGAGGCACTCTGCTTTAGGCGTGATCGAGAAGCTCGATAGGAGCCAGAGCGAGGCTCTAAGCGTTGGTATTTCAAGGGAAAAAGTAGATGCCCGATATGAGTGGCGCGCTAGGTGTACCTATAGAAAACGGGATTACGAGGAATTTATCGACTTTCGTTCCTCGCGCTTACCACGGATATCTCCGTCGAGCGATCGTGTGTCGCCTCGAATTCTATGGACGTAGACACTACCAGCGAACCGGGACACGAGGAGTACGCTTCTCTTATGACTTATGTACCGAGAAAAAGCGTACGATTATACTGTTAGCCCATACGTTGGGGAAAACAGTTAGGTACTTTTCGATAGACAATAGGACTCGAAAACGCGTGTTCCTCTGTGTTCCGTGGCAATACGCGTCCCACATCAAGCTTCCCTGCTAATGAATCATGCATAAGCTCCATATTCGAACTTGGCGCAACCAACCACGAGACAACTATTCTGCATGGTATAGTGATACCATTGCGGCAGAACGTATGTTCGTGGCGAATTTTGTAGTTTAGATTGATGTTTTTAACGAATTTGTAATATTGATTTGTTTGATCAATTTCTAATGTTCTTAAGTTGTTAACTGGGGAAGACGAGTTAACTCGTCACTGATTAGTCGAGATTTAGAACAGAGAATTTTATTTATCGAGGGACTGTTCATTTTTAATGTATTAAAATATATCATTCACATTTGGAAAGGAAAGTAATTGGTTATAAATTTTACACTGTTTTAATCATGAATTACAGAGATTCAATTTCTGTTTCAAAGGCGAACACATTAGGGAAGACGAGTTAACTCGTCATTGATGAGCCGAGATTCAGAACAGAAAATATGATTTACCGAGGGACTGTTCATTTTTAATCACACTGTTATGCCTGCGTTGAATGTAAAATACGTCGTATTCAAATTTGCAAGAATCAAGGGGAAGTAAGTGGTTTGCATTTTTAATCATTTTTAATTATAAAATGCAGGGATTCAATCTGAGAGGTGAACCCATTTGACAAGTTAAGATATTCCTTAGGGCTTACACTTTAGTATTTATTTTTCGCGATCTATTAAACCTTACGTCTATTTTTCTCTTCTTTCTTTTCCTTTTCTACTTTGTTGTTTGTCCCCTACATTAGGTGTATCGTTTTGTACCAAAGAATTTATTCCGTGAAGATTAATAAATTTTATAATTTAGATGAACCCTTTGTGGACGGACATAGTTGGGTCACTACATCAGTTTTGTTTTCTTCAAACTAAATTATGTCAAAATTCCATTTCCCTCAAATAAACCTACACGAGTTCATGATCTCTCCAACTGTTTTCATTGCTCAAAAATATGAGTTTATTGGTTGCGTTCATAGTGCATCTATAGTCCTCAAAGGGTTAATATTTCCAACAAGCCTCTAAATTCAATAAAAAAAAAAAAGCTTTCTCATTCCACAATTTCCTATTTTATTTCTTCTCTAAAACCACTAAATCGTCGCTACAGAATTCCCTCAGGTTTCCATTAAAATACTATCCACTTTCTGTGCGGACTCGCAGGACGACCCAATATTTCCCCGCAATCACCGCTATTACAAATATCACCTCAAAGAATTACCAACGCGAACCACAATGATCTTTACGAGCGGAACCGAGAAGTAAATAAAATTTAAACGTTCTCCGTCGGTATTCGCGAGAACATTGTCTAACTGGAGCAACAACCGATGGAATAAAAAAAAAAAGAAGGGAACGAGAATACCTCCACCGGCAACCGGTCGTCCTCTCTACTTTTCCAAGATAAGCGCGTGACACTTGGCGAAAGAATAAGGCCATAGCCGCGTGTGCGGCAGCAACCAACAAACCAGCAACCAGCCAGTCGTATTAGGTTGGCGCGTTGCTCGCGTTGTTAGCTGCATTCATACGCGACTACGTCTACAGGTCTCTCGCGATCTCCTTGCGCTAAAGTCGCGCGCGTGATGCGCTCGATACATAGAGGTGCGTAAGAGCCGCGCGTGTTTCTCCGCGAGCCACGCTCCGCGCAACCCGCAAAACGTTACGTTCTCTCCCTGACTGGATCCGTGACAAGGAGCCACGGACTCGAGTCCGGTAACGGAGAGCCCGTGCAAAGTGAAACTCGCTGAAGGTTTCCTATAGGGTTACACGGCCATCCATGAGAGAGTGCCTCTCTTGCCCTGGCTGCTGCCCCCTTTATGCCGCACCGAAACAAGTTTTACTCGTTGCACGATATCGGTTACCGGCAAGTCGAGCATTTATTACTTACGTGGAACCCGGAAGATCGATCGATCGGAAGTGGCCCACGAACTTGAACCGTGTCATGTAGCATAATGCGGTA